ATATTGAAGCTGTAAATATTCAGATGAAAGTAGGGTTTAGATCGAAGAAGCATTACCACGAATCAGGATACTTGGCTAAGATTTTGAAGCCACTGTATGGAAGTTTTTCAGATTAGAATCTCAATTTTTTTTTTTGAAAGGATTAACCAGGCAAATAGAATCTCATTTTGTAGCAAACATTAACAGTAATTGAATGAGTTCTGTTATGCCTAAATTTTTATATGACATCAATCGAGAGGTTGTTTGTTTATTTGTTAATAGTTTCATTAAAATGTAATATCAGAATTGTTAAGAGGTTAATCTTGTTTAGTAAAAAAATATTAATTAGTAGATATATATATATATATATAAATAAGGTAGAAAGGTTTTAGATTTTTTTTTATTAACCTGAATATCCAGTTCGTTATACGAGCTGACTAATCTCAGAACAACCACATGCTTTACAGATAATTCGGAGTCATTATATTTGAACTTTTGTGGCCACAAGAAGATTTTATTCCTTTTTGGATTTGAACCTGAAACCTCTAAATATTTTTTATTTTTCAAGTCAAACTCAAACCAATCATATATCATCATTGTGGTTAAGGTTTTAGATTTTTGTATGTATAGATGTGACTTGTTAGAAGATTGTTTCCATTGGTAGAAGTCAATTTGTTATTTAATTAATTAATTAATATACACATCTTCTCATCTTTCCAATTTAAAATTAAATGCATAAAAAAAACAATGTCGATTTTTCTTTTCCTTTGGAAAAAAATAGTTTGAACCACAACCGATAACAATTAAACACTGGTTTTAAATTCTAAAATAATATTTTAATATCAAGGGTCGAATTTTCTTTTTCTTATTATATATCTATAATAAAATTGTTTAATATAGATATCAGATTGGTTATAAATTAAATATAAAACAAACAATGTTTAATAATTAAACGGATAAATCTAAAAACTGATTAATTTTAAAATAAACTAATCTCTTAAGTTTATTTTAAAAACAATATGTTTTTCTTTTGATTTTATTATACAAATTTGTTCATATTTTTTTAGTACAAATTAGTTTGATATTTGATTAAAAAAATTAAATATTTGTATTGCGATGTTGAGTTAAGTGATGAGAAACGATTAATGATTTATTAATTTACCCAGTTTTTAATTTTCACTACTTTGAGTGATCGCAGTATCGATTTGCACTCAATTTTTTATGTTCGATTCGGAGGAAACGTTGGACTATTTGTCTTGCGGGATGCAAGGTTGCATTAGAAGCTTAGTTGCGAAAATAAGTGTTCGAGTGTTTGATTGGATTTCGAGAAGATCGCATAAGGAGTCTATGAATTGGGAGCAGTGGCTTGCAACACAGCATTGTGCTTCTCCCTCCTCGTAGCTTATATTGGCTCTCTTTTCTGTGGTTTGTGTCTTGTTCGCCTTTGTGGTCTTTGGTTTTGTTTTCTTTTGGTCTATGCATCTCGTAGTGGCCCTTTACGTATTTATCTCTTCTTTTGCTTAATAAGATTGCTACCTTTCAAAAAAAAAAAAAAATACCCATCAATCGTTCGATGATATAAATTTTGATCCATATTTTTTTTAAGTTTGTCATCTTATAATACTTTATTATATATAATAAAACACATCAAGATTAAGGGGTTGTTTACCAAATGCTTATCGGTATGTGTTTACTAACAAGAGTCACCATATTTATTTACCTTGTCTGGTAACATTCTCGGCTATCAAAATAGATTGTTGGTAAACGTATTTAACCTAATAACTGTTTACCGGATAAAATATTCTCTCTTATTTATCGGGTAAGACTCACAGTTTTTACTATGCCTTTTACCGAGTAAGATTCTCAGTTATTATCATCCTCATCTGAAATAAGACAAATGGTACTTGATATACATTTATCCAATAAGTTTTTGATAAACGACTCTAAGGGGCCGTTTACCTAAACACTTACCCGGTAAGCACTTACTGGTAAAATTCAACACTATCGCTTACTTATCGGGTAAGATTATTCACTAACGCATCGTATGCAACAATTTATCCCGGTAAGCGCTAACCATTGCGTAAAATACGAACAAAAATTGACATATATATGAGCTTGGACTGTATACAATTTATGAACACAATATGAACATAATAAGAATAGCTGCTACACGAAAGAAAATAAATAAAAAAACATGTATGAAAACAATATGAACAACTCCTGAATAATAATTCATTCATTATGAACACATTCAGAAAGGAGCTAGTATTGAGATATGCAGCTAGTGTACATATGAACACAATATAAACAATAGTATCGTAGAAATAGTATGAACACAATATGAACGAGTGATGAACATGAACAAGCCACATAGTGAGAGAATATCTTAGAAATAGTATGAACACATAACATATATGCTATTAACACGTGGTGCAATTAAAGAAAAAAGCTATCAATACAAGATGAATTATAAAAAACACAACACATCGTAATGAACATAGTTTCGATTAAAACGAATCTAATAAAAATATTAATCTATTACCAAGACATTCACTTTGGTTAATTTCTTCACTTCCCGAAAGCGAACTCCGATTGTCATCATAAATCATTTTAATCTTCTCACTGTTGTTGATTTCTTTTCCATTGCGTTTATCCATATTAGCTTGATCGATACCGGAAAATTTCACTACAGTGTTTTCTATGCGAATTAAAAACTCATAAAACAATGAACATGGAAGATCAAGATTATATATATATATATATATATATATATATATATATATGTCAATGTCATCCACTCACATATTCCGTAAGTTCCAAAAATATCGAGTCATGTATATTAAAGTTATGACTAATTTAGGCTCTCAACAGTTCTAACAGATTCTGATTTTTTTATTTGATTATAACGAAACTCTATTATTGATTTGACGTAAGRAAGGTTGAACGTTCGAACCCCCACAAATCAATTTTTGACCAGTTCGATTCTTGTTTCGAGAACAAGAATCAATCCGGGCTAGAAAGGCAATTGGACTTTTTAACCGGTCCAATTAGTCATAGCATTTTTCTAGTCCGGTCTTTTATTCAGATTTGGTCCTTGGTTCGTTTATGCGTCTCCTAGGAGGGCAGAGTTTAAACTTCATCAAAGGTGAAAATGGTATTTGAGTTTATTTGTTGCATTTGTTGTATATAAATTATATATTTTAAAAAAATATAAAAAACATAAAATGGTAATATTATTTCATCTTTTAACTATACATTAAAATAAGAAAGTTTATAAATATAGACATTGGATTATGTTATCAACTTGCAATAATTGAGGGAGATGCATAATGATTTAATTTAAAACATATAAATTACTTCAACCGTAATGTAACAAGCATTGGATTCTGTAAAACAAAAGAGTTAAGGTGAGAAGTGTAAAAAAGGATATCGATTCTTAAATGCATTAGGATGGATGAGATGTTTACTCTAAAAAAAATTTAAAAATAATTATTAAATCTTTAAATTATAAAGTTAAGCTAAAATATTAAGGGGTCGTTTACTAAACACTTATCCAGTAAGTGTTTTCCTATAAAATTTAATACTATTATTTATTTATCGGGTAAGATTTTAGTTTACATTTACCCGGTAAGCGCTAACCATGATAAGAGTCGTTGCACTCACTTACCGGGTAAGACTCTTGATCTTTATCTCGTTCTTACTGGGTAAAATTGTTGGTTTTTTTCATATTCATCGGGTAATATGATGTGACTTGATAAATGATTACTTGGATAATCGTTTGATAAATTGTCCCTAAATATTTATTTGGAAGAAAGAAAAATACTTGTTTATACGAGGGAGAAATCAACGTCCTTCTAGACGTTTCGTAAACAAACTTGAATTTGACGTTGGAAGAGTGGTTACCGGCGGTCCCAGATTTCATCGCTTTGCTGACTCACTCTCCAACTGTCCTTTACTCATTTGGATAACCACAATCCTCATGTCCAACTCATCCCCACGTCTTCATCCCCTTATAAATCCACCCCACAAAATCCATATCAACAATCACTCATCAATCCATTTTCTTACTCTTACATCATCAATGGCTATTTCAACTTCATCTTCCTTCTTTACCTCCCCCAATTTCATCTTCAATTCACATCCATCATCACAATCGCCTTCAACTTCGCTCAGATTTGGAAGAGCTCCGATTTCAGCTTCYTACGCCACCGCCGAGAGGACCACGACTGCGACGGAGCCAATTAGATCGTTCCGGAATCCTAATCCTTCTTCTCTGTACGAASTGCTCGGGATTCGAATCGGAGCTGATGTCAGAGAAGTCAAAGCGGCGTACCGTAGATTAGCGAGAGTTTTGCATCCAGATGTCGGAAGTTGTGACTCGTCGGCCGATGAGTTTATGAARGTGCACTCTGCTTATACRACGCTTACAGATCCGGCAAAACGAGCGGATTATGATCGGAGTCTGGTGCAGAGACGGGCGGGAGTTCCGTCTCCGATGAGATCTGCAGGTAGTTACAGGAGCCAAAGATGGGAGACGGACCAGTGTTGGTAGAAATTGCTCCGATGAAGCTCGTATCACCGTTTTAGGGATATTGAAGCTGTAAATATTCAGATGAAAGTAGGGTTTAGATCGAAGAAGCATTACCACGAATCAGGATACTTGGCTAAGATTTTGAAGCCACTGAATGGAAGTTTTTCAGATTAGAATCTCATTTTGTAGCAAACATTAACAGTAATTGAACGAGTTCTGTTATGCCTAAATTTTTACGTGATATCAAGCAAGAAGTTGTTTGTTTACTTTTTAATAGTTTCATTAACACGTAACATCTGAATTGTTAAGAGGTAAATCTTGTTTAACAAAAAAAAATTTACACTCTTAATTGTTCTAAAAACCTCTGAATAATTTTGTATCTTAAGCCTTCTTTAACCATTAAGCGCTTTAATTTCATTGTAAAAAATTATCAAATAATTATATTTCATTTTGTATTATATCATAAAAGTCTTTTAATTATTCTGACTATTTAATCATTGTACATTAAATCATTCAGTAACTGTCAAACAGTCTCTAAAAGTCTATGTTAGATCCCTAATATGATATTGAACAAAATATGTAAAAGATAAATCAATTTACAAAGGAAATAATAATTAATTAAATATTAAATAACAATATGAATATGAAATGTAATTATACTATTAATCATGACCATCAAATTTATAATGACTAAAAATGAAACAAACATCTCAAAAATACAAATTACAAATAGAAAGACCATAACATTGTATAACTTAAAAGGACATTCTATGTGTCTGTCGTTTTTTTTGTCGAAGTTAGTGTTTCAGAGCATCTCCAACAGCTTTTCTAAAATGGAGAAAACTGAGATTTCGAGCCAAATTTTGTTTCAACGGCTTTCCTAAAACTATCTCTACGGGGGTGTTTGGGATTGCTTATTTGAAACAACTTATTCTTTTTTACAAAAACACTTATCAACTTATTATAAGTATAGTTTAACTTCTTCAAAAACTTTTTATTACCGGTTTGACACCGGTATAAGTTGTTTATCCAAACACTTAAAAGTACTTATTACCAGTGTCACATCGAAATAAGTCAATAAATCATTTTTATAATCAATCTCAAACACCCCCTAAAATTGAGAAAATAAGAGAGAGAAAAACGTTTTTTCTCTAAATATTGAGAATACCTAAAAATGATTACTATGTGAGACAACCAATAGAAAAACTTTGGAAATAAATAAAGTTAAATACAAATTTGGTCCATGCGGTTTACATAAATTAACGAGTAAGGTCCCTGAGAGAAATTGTTAACAACAGACCTCCTATAGTTTCATTTTTATAACGGGTATGGTTCTTCCTCTAACTCATTTTATAATTTTCGTTAGTGAGGGGGTATTTTTGTCTATTCACCTTCCTCATTCCTTAACTTCAATTTTTAATAACAAATTTAGTCTCTCATACTATTTAAGATATAAAAATATAATTTAAATAATTGAATAAAACTAATTAATATACAGAAAATATATTACACCACTTGCATAAAATATAAAAATATAAAAATATAAATTTAATTATTATATACATTAAAAATAGTTGGATATTTCATTTTATTTTATTTTTTAAATTTTCAACTATTTAAAACGAAAAACTTATCAAATTTTATATTAGTTTTTAATAAAAAAAATTATTAATTTTTAGATATATATAAATAAGGTAGAAAGGTTCTAGATTTTTGTATGTATAGATGTGACTTGTGAGAAGATTGTTTCCATTGGTAGAAGTCAATTTGATATTTAATTAATTAATTAATATACACATCTTCTCATCTTTCCAATTTAAAAATAAATGCATAAAAAAACAATGTCGATTTTTCTTTTCCTTCGGAAAAAAAAAGTTTGGATCACAACCGATGACAATTAAACACTGGTTTTAAATTCTAAAATAATATTTTGTTATCAAGAGGCAAATATATATATATATATATATATATATATACTATATTATAAAATATTTGACAAAAATTATTAAAAATCATTTTTTTATATTGGTTCTCTTTTCAGTGGTTTTTGTCTTGTTCGCCTTTGTGGTCTTCGGTTTTGTTTTCTTTTGGTCTATGCATCTCGTAGTGGCCCTTTACGTATTTATCTTTTCTTTTGCTTAATAATATTGCTACCTTTCAAAAAAAAAAAAAATTACCCGTCAATCGTTGTTATAGATATTGATATGATGATATAAATTTTGATCCACATTTTTTTTTTAATTTTGTCATCTTAAATACTTTATTATATATAATAAAACACATCAAGATTAAGGGGTTGTTTACCAAATGCTTACCAGTATGTGTTTACTAACAAAAGTCACCACATTTATTTACCTTGTCTGGTAACATTCTCGGCTATCAAAATAGATTGTTGGTAAACGTCTTTAATCTAATAACTGTTTACCGGATAAAATATTCTCTCTTACTTACCGGGTAAGACTCACGGTTTTTACTATGCCTTTTACCGAGTAAGATTCTTAGTTATTATCAACCTCATCCGAAATAAGACAAATGGTACTTGATATACATTTATCCAATAAGTTTTTGATAAACGACTCTAAGGGGACGTTTACTCAAACACTTACCCGGTAAACACTTACCGGTAAAATTCAACACCATCGTTTACTTACTAAGTAAAATTTTATTCACTAAAATGCATCATGTGCAACAATTTATCCCAGTAAGCGTTAACCATGGTAAGAGTTATCGTGCTCACTTACCGGATAAGACTTTCGATTCTTGTCTTTACTCTTACTGGGTAAGATTTTTAGTCCTTGTTATATTAATCCGATAAAATAAAATGACTTGGTAAACGCTTAACTTAGGTAAACATTTGGTAAATGACATATAATTACTAAATCATAGGTATTTTTCTAATCATAAGCATCATATTGGATTTGTAGGTCAACCAATTCACGAGATCGGTGAATTTGTACTATTTTATGTAATTAAGAAAAAGTGTCGTACAGAAAAAAGTAGTAATCTTTTTAATAAATACATAAGAAAACATGATAACCTTCCTATAATTATAAATTATTAACCATTTAAAACTATTATTAATGTAATTATTGAAATTTTATTAATTAATAGATTCTATCATTTAATTTTTTGTTACCATCTCGTTTATATTAATTAACATTTTATATAGTTAATTATTTGTTTTGATTATATTATGAAATATTAAAATTACTAGTTTTTAACATGTCATTTTGATTTTTCTTCGACTATCTTATCAACTGATTTTTTAATTAAATAATTAATTTATCAGATATCTTATTAACTACTGTTAAAGTTATCGAATATCAATAACTTACAAAACATCATTTGTTAATTAAATTACAATTAATTAAATTAAATTAAAAAATAGTCTACAAAATTAAAGAAATTAAAATAAATAAATATTTTATTACAACAAAAAAAAAGTTTAACTACTGTATTTTTTTAAGATGAAGAAAGGAAGGTTCTATTACACGTGGCACAAAAAGAGTGGAACTGCCGACGAGCGCCGGTCCATATTTCGGGGGTCAATGGAGACGAAAACACCGCCACCGGCTCTTGATTTTTGTTTATTTATTATTCCATTTATTCAAACAAGATAATAGAGATGACCTATGGGTTCCATTCCATCACATAAAATAGAGTGAATTATACAAACTTCTATATATTTTTTGTTACTATAATATTGCTAATTAAAATTTTAAAACTTCCTTATATTTAGTGTTAATATATAATCTATATCTATATTATATTATAAAATATTTGACAAAAACTTTTAAAAACCATTTTTTATTCGTAAAATACTGTTTATTAATGCATATTACTTAAAACTCAATATTGCAAATAGATTGTGTATAAGTACAACTTATAAAACCTTCATATCTGAATTCGTGTAACTAACTGTGGATAAACATAATCAAATACAGAATAAACATCTCATTTTAAAATATAAAAAATCTAAAATATAATTAGGATAATTATCGACTTCTAACAAAATAATACCTAAATTAAATTATAACAAAAAAATTGAATTAAAAAATTACACAAAAAATAGGAATTTTAAATAGTTAATTTAATATTAATATCGATATATTTTTGTCAAAATTTTATGATATTTTCAAATTTATATTTTATTCAAAAATAAAAACATCGTTTTTTCAAAATCACATAAGACCATACTATAACATTAACTGAGATAAAAAATAAAATGAGATATTAAAATCAGATGTATCTCGCTACATTGCGCGAGTTTCTTTCTAGTTATATTATAAAGTATTTAATAAAAACTTTTAAATAGGTGTAATGACTTTTTGAGAAAATTTCTACATGTGGAAGAAAGTAACTCGATGCGATTGAAACTGAGTTTAGGAGGTACGTAAACGAGCCGAAAATTTCGTATACTATCGAGCCTGACATACTTAGGTGGTGGAAACAAAATACTATTCGGTTTCCAATTGTATCTCGAATGGCCAAAGGTAAATTATTGTGTTTATTAAGTTTTACGTTATCATTATATATGTATTATAATATTATTGTTTATGAACTTTGTATTTATGTTAGATATTTTGCCAATACAAATTTCCACCGTGGCATCTGAGTCGACGTTTAGCACGAGTGGTCGTGTACTAGGACCAATACCGAACAAACTTGTCAAGTTCCATAGTTGAGGCTTTGGTTTGCACCCAAGATTGGGTGAGATTGTCAAGGAAACCAACCGTTAGATGACATTGATGACATATTAAAAGGACGATGACATTGTCATATGTAATATCTATTATGTTAACAATACCGAAGATTAAGTAGATTGTTGAACTTAGATTGGTTTTGATTGTTTCGGTATCGCTTTGTATTTTCGGTCCTAATTTGTGCTAGTCCCTAAATTCCCGAACCAGTACCGAATACAGAAATACAGTTTGGTTTTCGGTCCTCAATTTTAGTCCCAAAAAAATTTGGTCTTACCCGATTCGGTACCGGATCCAGGATTGGAACCATCCCTACTTGGAAGTGAGAATGGAAGTTAGTATTTATTGTTGTAGTGGAATAGGGATGGTGATTTACCCCGATCCGTGGGGAACCCAGTTCATCTGACTCGAACGAGGATGGGGATTCCCCGCTAAAACGGGTCTCGGAGACGGGGCCAGGGATCCTCTGTAGAATCAAACTAAGGGATATTCTTCATGGGGTTTGATCGGGGATTTACCGGGTTTTGATCGGGGATTGATAGAGATTTGACCGGGGTCGGGCCC